GATTTTCATTAACATGTGCAACAACACTCTCCATTTACAAGATTTGTTATGAGTGAAACTACAGAGAATACAGTCTGTTTAATTTTTTACAGGTTCTGGGTCTCTCTCTCAGACCTGATTATGTTCTTTTCACCAGTGATGGTCAGACCATACTGTATGTGCAGAACCTTCTGACTGAGAATGCAGCTCACACAAAGGTAATGCTTTAATAGACAATGCAGACGTCTGCTGCCAGAAATGTATGCACGGGGAACCATTGTTTGACATTTATAAGCCCTGTTCAGCAAAATTCATACTGCTAATTCATCAGCTTTACATCTGAAAAACAACGTATCATGGCCCCTGGGTTTTGTATAAAAAGCCCCTGCAGTCATGGAGTTGGCAGAGCAAGTTGAACCATCGACTGGGAACAACCTAAACCAGCATCATGGGCAAGGTAAAAAGATATTTACTCATGTTCCTACAAATTCAAAAACTTTATAACTATTCCAGATTTAACACAGCAAAATGAATCTAAGTGTTAACGGTGGCCCTAGTATGAGCTCTGTTCGATTCTTCAGTTCAGTATATCTCCTTTGTTTCAGATCATCTTCTATGAGGACAGGAACTTCCAGGGGCGCTCCTATGAGTGCATGAGTGACTGCTCGGACATGTCCTCCTACCTGAGCAAGTGTCACTCCTGCAGGGTGGAGAGCGGCTGCTTCATGATCTATGAGCGTCCCAACTACATGGGTATGCAGTTCTTCCTGAGGAGAGGGGACTACCATGACATGCAACACATGATGAGCATGGGAATGATGTTTGACTCCATCAGATCCTGTAGAATGGTCCCCTATGTAAGAGACCTCACCCAAACATCCCTTTGATTTTTACAAATGTAAGCATGGCTATACTCACGTTTTCCCTGTATTTTATTACAGCACAGAGGTCCGTTCAGGATGAAGATCTATGAGAGGGAGAACTTCGGAGGTCAGATGTATGAGCTGATGGACGACTGCGACTCCATCATGGACCGCTACCGTATGTCCAACTGCATGTCCTGCCACGTGATGGACGGCCACTGGCTGGCCTAAGAGCACCAGGCAGGATGATGTACCTGAGGCCTGGAGAGTACAGGAACTTCATGAACATGGGCATGAGTGGGATGAAGTGGATGAGCATGAGGCGCATCACTGACACATGCTAGACTTCTGTATTTGTCATTAGTAAATAAAAATGATATGTAAAGTATTTTATCTATGTGATTTGTTATTTACTGTAAATTAAGTTTATGGTGGAGCCAGGAGAGGAAAAATAGATATGCATGTTAAATGGTAAATGGTCTTATACTTGTATAGCGCCTTTCTATGCTTTTACAGCACACTCAAAGCGTTTTCACATTATTCAGCCATTCACACTCCCAAGCACTCACACATTCACACACCGGTGACATCACCGGGAGCAACTGGGGGTTCAGTGTCTTTGTCAGGTTTGCCCGGTTCCACCTTCCTCTCTTCTTCTTCCTCACACTAGCCTAGACCTTGCACTGATTACACTATTCAACACACCTGCCCCTCTTCCCTGATTACTCACCAGCTGCACCTCATTAGTCTCCTCCATACTTATACACTGTTCACCAGTCACTCCCCTGCCAGTTCTTTCTCTGTCTTCAGGCCAGTGGTTGTTATGTTTTATCAAGTTTATGCTAAGATTGTCTTTGTTCTCTCTAGTCCTTGTTAGCACCCTAGTCGTTATCCTGCCCTGCCTGTCTACAGCCATCATCACCTCCACCTCGACCAGCCCAGGAGTGACCTCTGCGTCCGCAGCCCGGTACATCATCATCCACCATACCACTGACTGTTTTTCTGCTGCTGCTGATCGACACCCGGTCATCTACCTCATTACTCCTCCTGTATATATGTCACTACCTTCACTGTAAATAAACCTCACTGCTTGCACCGAAGCCAGCCACCTGGGTCCTCTTTTTATCTGCTCGCTCACTCTGTGTTCGAGCGCACCCTAACAGTCTTGCTCAAGGACACTTTGACATGTTGACTGTTCTAAACAGGCATATAGTTTGTTTGTTTTCTTTTTTGTATTGTTTTGTTATATTATTCTGTCATACTTTGTTATTTTGTAGAGCACTTTGGTCAAGTGTTGTTGTTTTTAAATGTACTATTTAAATAACGTGACAATGACACTGACAGCACATTTAACGAGCCTTTTAAATAAAAGTGTCTGGGGAAACGTTTTCTGCTATTCAGCAGCAAACACAATACAGAGTGGGGCCTCTCCTCACAAATGCAACAAAAGTCAATCATGATCTGTTGGAGTTCACTTTGAGCTGCCCTGGGGCCTCCACCCCATGTTGCTCTGTCAGGAATTTGAACAATGGGGTCATGGATCATTTGGGCGCAAGGTCAGGTATAAACGTGACGGGGTGATATGGAGAAAACGGTGCAGTCTTTTGATCCAAACCTGTTGTGACTGTAGCCATGACCATGGGCAAGGTGTGTGCAGCAGCTTCTTTTTTTTTTCTCTGATCACATGCTGGATATTTTTTTTAAATGAATACTTTATAGAATCTGTGGTACCCTGTAGCATCGTCATGGCGATTGCCTGTTTTTTCAGATTATCTTCTATGAGGACAGGAACTTCATGGGTCGTTCCTATGAGACCAGCAGTGACTGTGCCAACATGTCCTCCTACCAGAGCAGGTGCCACTCCTGCAGGGTGGAGAGTGGCTGCTTCATTGGGAAACCAGTTCTTTGTCAGGAGGAGAGAGTACTCTGACCACCAGTGTATGGGTATGAGTGACTGCATCAGGTCTTGCTGTCTGATCCCCATGGTAATAGACCTCATTGTTTACTGTTAATGTGAAATCTGATATGTGAAAAATATTAAACCTGGTGAGAGCAAAAGGAGGATTTTGTGTTCATTCATTTCACTTTACAGCACAGAGGTTCGTTCAGGATGGAGATTTATGAGAGGGAGAACTTCGGAGGTCAGAGGTCAGATTAGTAAAGTTATAAGTTGGTACACTATTGGAAAAGCTGCATTATTGCTACCAAATAAATTCACCCGGATTAAAGTCAGAACCAGTCTGTTATCAGTACAAAGAGTGGTACCTGTGTAGGTATAAGTTAGTGTAAATAATGATTAATATGTCAACATGTGTACTCAGAACTAGAAGTCCAACATAGCACTTTCAAGTTTTAAAAATAGGATGTTGCTGCCATCTGATGATGTACAGTGTATAGACCTTATAAACTCACTTCTTTAGTGGTTATAGTAGTAGCGGTCTTAACTGATTACATGTGTATATGAACCTCTCATCTTAACATTTGTTTACCATGAGTTTAAGTTGTAGTTTGTTGTGTGAGTTTCAGATCACTCAATAATAATGGAGAGAATTATTTAAAAGAGAACAACTTGACTTTATTTCAAAATGCTGCTCTAATAACAGGAATCCATGATGCGCCTCATGCTCATCCACCTCATCCCACTCATGCCCATGTTCATGAAGTTCCTGTACTCTCCGGGCCTCAGGTACATCATCCTGCCTCTGTAGTGCGGCTGCTCGTACATCAGCCC